CAACTTAAATTTTGAAAGTGTTCCGGAAAGTCTGACACTTTTATATATATCTTAAATTAAAGCTAGTGTAATATACTTTATTATGTAAAAAAAAAATTTCGGACTTTATTTTGTCTTCACGGTGAAAATGGTAACCAAATGCTATTATTGTGTGAAAATTCTCAATTTTATTTTTTACATTTTTAACTTTATAATGCTATAACTTATTGAAAAGTGTATTGATCAATATAATTTTTTTATGGGAAATACTATTTTTTAATAATCCCTTTTTCATTCGACATACTTTATCTTAATCANTTAATAATCCCTTTTTCATTCGACATACTTTATCTTAATCAGAATATTAATAAGGAACTAGCAGTTTATGAAGCTTTTGGAATAACCCACCAATTTTTTAAAATTAAACACTATCTAAAGATTTGCATCGAAGCGTTTTTTTTTTATAGTGATTTTAATCACTGTCAGATATTATTATACTTGATCCAACTATGCCACGTCACCACTGTGCCGCGACCCCCCTGTGCTGATTTTTTTGTGTCTGTCATTACTTTTTCTCGCCTTTTACTGGACCGATAGATGATGATTTGTGATGTTCCTTGTTGACGTCGATATTTTAAGTTAAATTAAGTAAATAAAAACCCAGCACAGTGGGGTCGCGGCATAGTGGGGATGTTGCATAGTTGGGTCCAGTATAGATTTAATCTGACAGTGATTAAAATCACTATCATAAGAAACGCTTCGATGCAAATCAGTAGATAGTGTTTAATTCTAAGAAATTGGTGGATAATTACAAAAGCTACATTATCTGCTAGTTTCTTATTAATACCCTGATTAAGATAAAGTATGTCGAATGAAAAAGGGATTATTAAAAAATATTATTTCTCATAAAAAAATTGTGTTGATTCGTACACTTTTCAATGAGTTATAGCATTATAAAGTTAAAAATGTAACCAACCCAACCCAACATCAACTCCTATTTCCTTAATTATATCCAGATTAGTAATTATTTTAATTATATATTATATAATTTTTATAATTAATTATTTTCAAATTATTATTGATTTTTAATATGTTAAAAGTAATCATTTTGAACCTACTTCTTTTTGTTCTTTAAAGTGAAAGTTTTAATAAAAAAAAAATGAATTTATTACCATAACTTTTAACTCAACTTGCAAGTTTGAAATAAATATTATTAAATAGAAAAAAATGAAATTGGTAGATTATTTCAAAAACAACAATAACACTTATTCCCTTAATTTTACCCCGATTTATAACTATAATATATGAATACATAATAATTACAGTAATTAAATTGAGTATGAAAGTGGTATTCAATAATATAATATTGTAATTTTTACGGAGATATTATAAAAATAAAAAGGAGTTGTATATTCATATACTTTTAATGCGTATACAAATTTAAAGGAATTTATGCAATACTTTTTAATAAAAAAATTTTGTTACTTATGAATAAATACACTAAACAAAAGGAACTTTCATCAGAAAAAAAATATACTTTTCTAAATAAACTTTTCGTGATGTTTTCAAATGTGCAATTAAACTTTTTCTATTACTTCTAAGTTTTAATATTATTACTTATTATTAAAAAATAAGTATTTACATATAAAAAAAAATAATTAAGAACAAAAAAAATTGTATTAAATTAATACTGATTTTGATTTTTAATATGTTAAAGGTAATCATTTTGAACCTATTTTTTATTGTCTTTTAAAGTGAAAGTTTTAATGAAAAATACCTTCTCAGCTTCGCATCGAAGCTAAAAAATGAATTTGTTACCATAACTTATAGTTCAACTTGCAAGTTTGAAATTGACATTATTAAATTGAAAAAAATGAAATTTTTAAGATTAATATGCAATCTGGAAATTTTATAATTACTAATTACAGTACATTTGTCAGAAAAATTCGATTTTTTTACATTTTTATCGTAATAGATAACTGAAATAGAAAGAATAGTAATCATATCCTAATAACTTTTGGTGTTTAAAAAAATTCTGCAATTGAAATATTCAGAACTTAATTAATTTTAATAATTTACTTTAATTAAATGAACCAATCAAACCAAAGTAGTTAAAAAGATTTACTCAATTGAGCATATTATCAAAAATATAATTATAATTGTAAAACTCCATCGTTAACTTCAGGTGAAACTAAAAATCATTTTTTTTTTAAATTTATGATTTATATAGCAAAATATTACTAAAAAATTTGGCATATTATAGACTGGTAGTAGCACACAGAAATAGAGTTAAAAAATTAATAAATTATAAAGTAAAATTATTTACTTTTGTAGTTGAATACTTTTATCATATCAAATTTAATTCGACAATAAATAATTTAAGAATATTAAAAATTAATGATTTTAATTGTTTGTATGGACAAATCTAGTTAAGCTACTTTTTATTTGAATAAGGAATATTTTTTTGATTTTTAAGAGTAATAACTTAAACTAATCATTAACTTAAATATCATAAACTTAAATGAATCATTTGACGTATCGTTGAAAAAAGTAGGTCTAGTGAGGGTTGGCAAAATAAATCGTAGCCAGAAAAAGAACCACATAGTAAAATAATATTAACATGAATATCAATTTCTTCTCACGAGGGGAGACTATAGTGATAAGATCCTTTATATTTATTGAAATTATTGAATCTAAATGAGATAAATATCAAATGATTTGAAAATTCTATTCTAACTCAAAAAAAAAATGCAAAATTTTAGAAGCCACAAACGGATTTGAACCTCGTACCCTAGGCGTTAAAGATCAAGGTGTTACCCATTCGGCAACTATTCGTTGATTTTTGTTGCATGATAAAATTGGCTATTTAAGCTAACTCAAATTTAAAAATTACTTTTTCGACTTTAAAAAAGTAAAAAATGTTAATAAGTATAATATCATATGTCTTATGAACTTTATTCTATGTCAATGAAATTATATAATATTCATGAAAGTCAGTTTATTCCCCTAATAAAATATTTTAAAATAAAATAAAATACAAAACCTAGAATTTTAATAAAAAATAGCATATTTTTAAATACGGTAGCCTTTTGCGCATAGAAGATAGGTCGTCGGGACAAATTTTTTTTTTTCATTTAGTAGTACATAAAATAAGCTTTAATTTGATATATGTTTAAAGGACGCAGTATTTCCGGAACATTTTCAAAAATTAAGTTAAAAAAGTTAGTTTTTGTAAAAAAGTTGCAATTTTAAATCCTCCTCCATGAGCAGATAAGTGTTAGATTTTCAAAAAAAAATGATATCAAATGAAAGAAAATTACCTAAGGTTTCAATATAAAGAAATATTATTTTGATTAGTTAATATTTGAAAAAGTTATGGCAGTTTTAAGTACAAAAAACATCGTTATAAAAGGTGATTTTTATCGCAAATATTACATTTTTTTTATAATTTCGACAGCCATTTGCACATAGAAGATAAGGTGTCGGGACAAATTTTTTTTTTTCATTTTATAGTACATAAAAAAAGCTTTAATTTGATATATGTTTAAAGGACGCAGTATTTCCGGAACATTTTCAAAAGTTCAGTTGAAAAAGTTCTATTTTTTATACAATGTTTCAAAGTTTGAACCCCCCCTATATAAGGGGAAATTGTCTAATTTTAATAAAAAGTATGTCAAATGGAAGATGTACTTATAATGTATTTAGAAAAAAAAAAATTGTGCTGATACATGCATTTTTCGAAAAGTTATAGCATTTTTAAGTTGAAAATTAAAAATTGAAAATCGAAAATTTTAACACAAAAATAGTGTTTTTTTAACTACGGCAACCGTTTACATGCAGAAGATAAAGTGTCGGGACAAATTTTTTTTTTTCATTTTATAGTACATAAAATAAGCTTTAATTTGATATATGTTTAAAGGACGCAGTATTTCCGGAACATTTTCAAAAATTAAGTTGAAAAAGTTAGTTTTTGTAAAAAAGTTGCAATTTTAAATCCTCCTCCATGAGCAGGTTAAGTGTTAAATTTTCAATAAAATTATATCAAATAAAAGGAAAATATCTAAGGTTTTAGTTTAAAAAAAAATTATGTTGATTTGTTGATTTTTGAAAAAGTTATGGAAGTTTTAAGAAAAAAAAGTGAAAAAAATGACAAAATTTGTCAATTTTTAAATTTGTAATTTTTTTGGATATTTCCCCCATTTGCGGGGAACGAGGGAAAATTTTTAAATTTTTAAGGGTAATGTCTTCAACTAGATACAATTTGTGATCTTTTGACGTATTGTTAAAAGAAATCGGTCCAGTGAGAGCTGAGAAAAAGTAGTGACAGACACAAAAAAAA